ATGAATTACGCTGGGGCTAATTCACCCCTTGGAAAGGGTGGCCAAGATTTCGTCATGTTACTGGGAAAGATTTCATCCTGCTACTGGGAATGTCCTGCGATTTAAAACTTATAAACTGATTATATCTGGAATTGCCTAGTTAACATTAATAGACCATTGTGGACCTCTGGTAACTGAAACTATATGAAGTGAAACTTCAGTTGAGGGTAGCTACTGTATCTTCCCCTTAGTGTCCCAGAGAAATACCTAAGGGATTAACTCCTGCCCAGGCAGGAATGCTGGTACTCAGAGGGGGAACATGTAGGAGTCTTGATTCTGAAGCGGAACACTTGTTTTTCCCCATTTCTTCCTATGACTTCCTCATGTTTATCCTCTGCTTTTGAATTACTTTAATGTCTCAAACACCAATTTCTAGCCTATCAAGTTGAATAGACACTGATTACATTTCTGAGTAACTCCAGTTTGCACTGGCTTCCTGCTCCCAGCATCCAACCTGCACCCCCAGAGCATGAGACCTTGTAAGACTCAAACCTTTGAACTTGAGTTGCCAGGACTCAATAGGATATTAAAGCCACCAGACCCTTTTCACCACACAAATGAAAGAAATTAGATTGACACTGAGTAATTTTCAGATTCAGATTCATTCTTCAATAAGCAATCTTGCTGAAATACAAAACTCCTATTCTTAAACATATTTAGTGGCTACTGTCTACAGAATTACATCCAATCCAACCCACAATTAAATTTTAACACGTTACAGAAAGTCTTACATGACCTGACACCATTCTCCAACCACTACCCCCCCTTCCCTCTATATAGTTTTGTTTTTTTTTTGTCGGTCGTGGGGCTTGAACTCTGGGCCTGGGTGTTGTCCCTCAGCTCTTCAACTCAAGGTGAGCGCTCTACCACTTGAGCTACGGCGCCACTTCCTACCCCCCCTTCCTTACTCCATGTTTATGTTCCAGCAATTATGAAATAATTACAATTTCTTTAACATTAGCTTACTGTTTCTTATTTCTTTGCCTTTACTCATGTGCTAGAATGCCTTTATTATCCTCAATTTTTTCTGGTTTTCATTCAGACTTGGAAATTCATCTGTATTAATCACTCTCCCAAAGCCATCCTAAACATCCCTGCCTGATTTAAATATCTCCTAAATGTGGAAGTGGCTCTGTGGCTCAAGTGGTAGAGCACTCACTTTGAGCTGAAGAGTTAAGGGATAGCACCCAGGCCCACAGTTCAAGCTCCACGACCAAAAAAAAAAAATCTTCTAAATGTTCTTTTTTTTTTTTTTTTTGGGGGTCCAGTCATGAGGCCTGTACTCTGGGCCTGGGTACTGTCCCTCAGCTCTTCAGCTCAAGGCTAGCGCTCTACCACTTGAGCCACAGCACCATTTCCGGCTTTTTTCTTTTTTCTTATGTGGTGTTGAGGAATCGAACCCAGGGCCTCAGGCATGCAAGGCAAGCACTCTACCACTGAGCCACCTTCCCAGCCCCAACAATTTATTTATTTTTTGGGGGGGTAAATGTTCTTATACTTCTAGCTCTATGTCACCATAACACAGGACAATCATTCTGTACCTATTCTTCTTCACTATAAGAACATAAACCTCTTGAGATCAAAGAGTATCTTAAGTGACTGTCTCCACATCCATGTAATCCTCATATTGTTAATAGTTGAATTAATTTCAGACAATCTAAAACCACGACAATATTAGTGATTATGTTGGAATTTAATCCCTATCTCTGAAATACCTTTTATATGCTCTTAGATTCTGATTTTATATTCTAATTTCAGAGAAATTCATATCACTTTTGTAGGCTCTAGTTCAGTGTTGACTTGATACAAGGTAGGTAATAAATTAATTGTGCCATAAGGAGTAGTGGTTACTATTTTTTTATTTGTAGAGGAAAACATTTAGAGAAGATATTCATTAACTTCTCTAAGCTTTATTTTTCCTCATCTATAAAAATAATTTCCAACTCGAAAGGTAATTTTAATAATATACAAAACACTCTCAACACACCTTAGAACTTGGCACCAATTTAAACTAAATGTTAGACTGAATTATGATATTAAACAGTTACATTCCACTGTACTCAGAAAAATCCTTCTCTAATTCAGAAGCAAATATAATTTTCAAGCAAATATAAATGAACTATCTCACTGGATTTAGAATCGTATCACTTACCTTTCTTTTGAAGTTGGATGGATAACTGATGGATTCTTTGGAGCTAAATAGGAATTACAAAAATCACATTATCAGTGAAGAAACGTAAGCTAGAAAAATTTCACATTAAAAGAAAAAAAAACATAGGATATTTACCAAATGCCGTGCTTTCAAGGCAAATATCTTCATTCTGTTTCAAGGGAGAAAATTAAATGTTAGAGAATCCAAGTATCAAAGTTAATTTTCTATTATTTTATTTGTTGATTGTGGGGTTTGAGCACTGTCCCTTAACTCTTTTGCTCAAGGTTAGTGTTCTACCATGTGGCTCTCCTGTGGATGATTGGACATAAGACTCTCATAGACTTTCCTGTCCTGGGCTGGCTTTAAACTCCAATCCTCAGATCTCAGCCTCCTGAGTAGCTAGGATTCCAGGTGCTAAGCCACCAGCATTCAGCTACAAATTATTCCTATGTGTGAATGTGAAAAACAGTGAAGTGGAAGTTCATTATTTGGCCTTACCTTCTGGGAATCTGAACCACTCTTTCCTGGAAGCACAGGTTTCTTCTTGAGGAATGCATAAATGTTTATGAGTATTACCTCAAAAATAATTCCTAGGAAAGTTATAAAGAAGATTAACATCCAATCATTTTGAAAGATCCAAGATGCTTGGAGGTCCCATATTGTCCAAAACACATCATCTTCTGATTCATCTCCTGCTACATTTTTAAAGAAATAATGTGGCTTTGACATTTTAATTTAATATAGGAAATTGATCTCAGAATTCCTTGAGTTCAGATGCCCAAAACACAAAAAGTGGTACGCCCATCTCAACCACATGCAAAGCTTTGCCAGAAACATCTGCTAGTGCTACCCAAGGTTTACCAAACGTAGCAAGGACAGCTCTGGGCCTAAGTGACGAACGTGTCATAGTGGGCATTTAACTTAGCTCACAGTATCTCACTTTAAGCAATATTGCAAGTTCACTGGCAAAACACAATGCTAGATGCTTTTTTTTTTTGGGGGGGGGGGTCTGGTTGTGGGGCCTGAACTCTGGGCCTGGGCACTGTCCCTCAGCTCTTCAGCTCAAACCTAGCACTCTACCACTTGAGCCACAGCACCACTTCCGGCTTTTTTATTTTTGCTTATGTGGTGCTGAGGAATTGAACTCAGGGCCTCATGCATGCAAGGCAAGTGCTCTACCACTGAGCCACCTCCCCAGCCCCGCTAGATGCTTTTTTAAATTTAAAAATTTATTAATTTCATAAAAACCAAAACAATCCTATATGTCCTCTAAATATTACTACTCCTATATAATTTAAAAATATAGAATAAATTCAAATCGGTAGGAAGCCTTTGATCTGAACATTTCTATTACCAGTAACAGTGTATTCAACATTTATTTGTGGCCAAGAAAATATAGTACTTTGTTAGAATGAACGTAGGGTTGATCGATGTAACATGTAAAAATATTGGGTGCCCACTGTAATTCACATTTCGCCAAATAGGCTTTTAGTACAAATATATCTGGTCGCCACTTTGTAACACATACAATAACTTGTCTCTTAAGAAACTGCCACACAAAAAATAAGAATTAAAAAAAAAAAACCTGCCAGAGTTCTCTTAGAGCAGTTGCTTTTTCATTTCTTTGCTATAAAGAGCTCTCTTTAATTTCTCCTACAATACAGTAACATTGTGCTGAAAACCAGATTTGACTCTGTAATGGCTCCTAGTTAGTTGCCTTTTGCCATGCCTGGCATTAAAGAGCGACTAGTGATGTCCTTTCTGATGTCAGAATTGAAGGGTGGGGCGGAGGCAGACCTAAGAATTGCTAATTTTCCTTAAGTCCACAAAGTTAGAGCTGGAAGCTTACTGAGCAAATAGTTTCAGTCAGGATAGACTGTACTAGTGGTAAAAAATTTCAACACTACTTTGGATATAGTGCATTTTTCTTTGAAGATGTAATTAATACTGCCTTTGGATTCACTCAGTCAGGTAAACTGAGGAAAGCAGCATTCATTTGACAGGAGTAAACCATTCAGGCCTTTTATGATTACAAAGATTTACTGAGCTCTGGCATCGTCTAGTGGGGATCATGAAGCATTCTAAAGAGAATCTCATGTTTAGATTCAGTCTACTGGGGTTTAATTCTGATGTTGGGTTTTGTCATTGCAAAGGATAGTTCTCCAAAATGGTAGGGCATTCAATAGCTCTCGAAGAAACCACAAGTACTCGGAATTTCTCAAGTACTATGGCATAGTAGACACCTCCCCCACTCCTTGCCCCTTCTTAATATACACAACGGGAGCGATTTTTACTAAAACCTGTTTTCATTATTATTTGGGGATATTGGGAACAGGGGCTTGAACTCAGGCCTCACCCTTTTGTAGCAGTAGGCACTTTACCACTTGAGCTACATCTCCAGCTCCTTTTAATATTATTTTCAAGGTAGTGTGTGGCTTTTTGCTAAGTTGTGATCTTCCTGTTTGTGGCTAGGGATGACAGGCAAGTACCAGTGTGCCCAGCCATGTGTTTTCCCCATAATCAACAGGTATTTTACCACTACCTTTACCTTTACGGGAGTCTCACTTCTTTTTGTCTAGGCTGGCCTCAAATTCTGATCCCTGGATTTCCAGTATCTAAGCAATTAAGAATACATACAGGCTTGAACCACCCCACCCAGCTGGACTTTTAATTCTTTTTTAGCTTAGGGAAAATGTGTATTTAGGAAGGTAGTTTAATGGGCTTCCCTATCATATTAAGATAAATACTCAACTTCTCTAACTAGATTGCAGGTGGTTAACAGATAAATTAGAGACTACCATAAACAGAATTGTAGAATTTTTGTTCTTTAATAGGACAAAGTCTGAGTAACAGGTATATAAAATACAAGCATAAAATCAAAGACTGTTCATAAGTTAGAAATACTGCTATAAATGTCTTAATTCATAAGTGTGGAAGGCACTGAACAAAGAAGTTCTTTAAAGATGAAAATGTATTACTTCACGGAGTTTCTAAGACAAATGGGATCATATAAAACCTAACAATGCTTAATGAGAAGGCAGTGGGACTGATTAAAGAGGGGAAAAAATACAGTGACCCCTCACCTCTTGTGGGAGTTTTGTTCCAGGGAACCCTGATAGGGAAAAATCCGAGAAGCAGAGCGTTTAGATAGTCGTCTTTCACTATATGCAGTTCACATATTGTTACTTTGCGGATTTTCACCAATTGTGGGGGTCTCTGGAGTGTTACTCCCTTGATTGGCGAGGGGTCACTATGTATGTATTCTTTAAAGGGTGAGCAGGATTTGATAAGAGAAGAAAGTCTCAGAAAGAAGCAGACTGTCTTTTTAATGAAACTGTATAATGAGGAAAGGCTAAAATCTTGATAGTCTCCCTTATAGTTCAAGGTTGGCTTCAAACACAAGATACTCCTGCCTTCACCTGCTGGCACTACATGTGTGTACATCATCACACAGACCCTGTTTCTCATCAAGTTTCTGGTTTGAAAACAGCAATTGGTTTATCAAAGTAAGGAGACAACAAAATATGGAAAATCAAATAGACTACTATAGTTCATACAAATAAGAATTGATAATGGCCTGAATTAGGGTGATGGCAGGGCAGACATTAAGGAGACAGGCTTTTAGACATTTCAGTGCAAAATTTAGCAACTGTAAGGGAGAGAAAATGGATTTATATACAAACTGGTTGAAAACCAAGTTCTTCCACACTGGCACAGTGTATACTTCCATCTAACTATAGTGTTTACAATATCCTTTTCTTTTTAGGGGATACCACAGAATTCTCCACACCAGTCGTGATAAAGTTTCTAGACATTGCCAAATGCCCAGTGGTAGGTACAGTGATGCCTCAGATAAGCAATACTGGTCTACGTGAGTGGTGGTGACTAACCTCTTCCCAGCTGAGGCGATAGAGTAGCTCTTTTAACAGTGAGCTCAAACCTGAAAGGGCTTAATGATTTCCTGCAAGATGTGGCCAATCTGCAGGACAGCGGATGAAGTCTTTTCTGGAATGTTCGCTGCAGCCTCAGAAATATGGCATGTATCTTCCTCAGTTATATGTTCCCTAACCATGATTAGGGAATCGTGTAATAGCAAGCTAGCATATGAAAAGAATGTAGTTTATGCATCATTCAGGGCTAAGTCAACTGTTAAATGGCTATCTCCATCCCTGTATTAGAAGGATTATCTTTGAGTGGTCACCCATATTACGCTTATAGATTAATTTTCTAAATTTAACCACTCTAACTACAAAGCATGGTTAGTGACTTCATAAATCCACTGGAATTATGTATGTTCTGTGTGTGTGTGCGCGCATGCACACACCTATGCAGTAGTGATACTTGAATTCAGGGTCTGGGTGCTGTCCCACAGCTTTTTCACTAAGGCTAGTGTTTCACCTACTACCCAAGACACAGTTCCACTTCTAGCCTTTTTGGATTTGGTGGCTAATTGAAGCTAAGAATCTGATGGACTTCCCTGCGCAGGCTAACTTCAAACCACAATCCTCAGATCTCAGCCTCCTGAGTAGCCAGGACTATAGGCGTGAGCTACCAGCAACTGCCATTTCTCTCTCTTTTTTTAAAGATGACATATTCAAAATTGAGTACTTTCTCTGTTCCATTTCAATAAGACAAAAACACCATTGTAACAAAATTCAAATGTTTAATTTTTTTCCAAAACTTAACTATACTAAAGAAAATAAATTATATTTAGACCACCTTCAATATTGTACATCATCTTCATACAACTATAACAGTGCTTTCAAAAGACATTTTGTAAAGGATATTTCACAATTAAAATGTGTTTCAAAAATAGGGCAACATTAAACAACAATAGTCTGAAATATGTCTCACCATAATGCTGAGAGGTATACTGGTCTTTGATAAAGAACAATATCTGTACTCAAATTTGTACTTTCATAGCTTTCAGCTGAGGACAATCATTTCTTGTCCATTCCAGTGATTTCTTGGATCCAAAACAAAATCTGTGTATTTATTTCTTTGAAAACATCATTTGTTGACCGTCCCTTCACCGCCATGGAATGATTCGCCTTCTCAATCCAGTGGATTTTGTTGGGAGCTTTCATTTTCTGTGCCACTTTCTCCAACAGATTCTAAAGGGAAAAAGAAAAAGGATACTAGACCAATGCTCTACTGTTTTCATAAAGGGGTTTCTCTCCCTCAGCTATACTGGCACCCACTCAATCACATGCTTGTTAAATACCTACTCCACAGACAACTTTCTAGGCAATAGAATACACAAGGAAGTCTCGACAGAAGTGTCAGCTCCCTTCTCCCAGATATCATAACACCACCAAACAGGCTGAGCACCGATGATTGAGCCCGTCAATTTTTTCTCCCCAAACACTGTTTTTCCCAAGAAAATTAGAAGCTGTGAAAAACAGCATTGGGATGACACTAATATATAAATACTGCCAATCCTTTCTTATGGGTTAATCTGCCTGCATGCTGAACTCACAAATCAAACCTACATTCTAGTAACGTCAAAACCTTCCCAGGGGCTGGGAAGGTGGCTCAGTGGTAGAGCGCTTGCCTTGCATGCCTGAGGCCCTGGGTTCGATTCCTCAGCACCACATAAGCAAAAAGAAAAAAGCCGGAAGTGGCGCTGTGGTTCAAGTGGCAGGGCACTAGCCTTGAGCTGAAGAGCTGAGGGACAGTGCCCAGGCCTAGAGTTCAGGCCCCACGACTAGACCCCCCCCGCCCCCCCAAAAAAAAAAAAACCACACACACACACACAAAAACCATTTCCCAAAGAAAAATTAATGCATTTACTAACTCTCTTTTCCAAAGGCATGAAACTAGTATTAGACAAATTAGCATTTTTTCTGACACTAAAAGCTTCCACTAATCTTGCTCCTATTTCTCTCACTCTTGCATTCAGACAAACACCGAGTTCTAATTCACCTTTTCACACATTTCATCTGCGGAGCCTGACACAAAGAGTACGGGATCTTTTAAACGAAAGAGATCTTCATCTCTGAGTTTTTGCTGCTGCTTCGGATGGTGTAGTGGGTAGGAAATACAAATGAGACCTCTAACAAAATCATTACCATCTTCTGGCTCAATATGACACATTACAGAGGCAGCTGCTCGTGAGCCCATTGAACGACCTAAAATCAATTAAAATCAAGTTCAGTTTGAAATAGAAACAGTTACAAAAAAGAAGCTACAATGGTGTGACAAAATTATGAATCTATTTACTGCTATTCATATTTGCTTGCTGAAAAAAATCTAATAATTATATTATGAAAAGTTACAAACTGAAACAGCATAAATGATATTTTTTAAAAAGCAATTCTTCTGAAATAATTCTTGGAATCCCCATGAGAATGATTCAAGGAAAGAAATAAAAGGAGTGAGCTTTAAGTTATAATACATATTCATCAATGTAAGATTTAAATTTGTTATAAGGATGTAAGGTGGGGCTGGGAAGGTGGCTCAGTGGTAGAGCGCTTGCCTTGCATGCATGAGGCCTGGGTTCGATTCCTCAGCACCACATAAGAAAAAAGAAAAAAAGCAGGAACTAGCACTGTGGCTCAAGTGGTAGAGTGCTAGGTTTGAGCTGAAGAGCTGAGGGACATCGCGAAGGCCCAGAGTTCAGGCCCCCCCCCAAAATAAATATAGTTTAACTTCAAGGCGGTTACTTAACAAAAGTATTTAAATTAACTTCCTGTTACCAATTTTAATGTTAAAATGGATAGTTAACAAGCATTCAAAAGCATTTAAACTTACCTCCCAAGAATACACCTGCAAGTTTGTATTCTCCTGAGGTCTTTAGGTAATTCTAGGTAAATCAACCAAAACAACATTAAAAAAAATCATTAATTTTTCTCTTAAAAAACATTCCACTGCAAAGTTGTTTCTTACCATTACTCACAGGTATGACAATTTACATAAAAATAACCATAAAAATCTTGAAAGAATTCTTCTTGAAAGTACACAGTGGTCCCTCTTCTGATAACAGTTTACTATTAAATTACATCTAAGTGTTGGCAAGTGTGAGAAGAAAAAAAGAGTCAATTTAGCCAGGCACTGGTGGCTCATACCTGTAATCCTAGCTACTCAGGAGGCCTCAGGATTGTAGTTGAAAGCCAGTCCAGCCAGGCAGCAAAGTCCCTGAGACTCTTATCTCCAATTAATGACCAGAAAATCAAAAGTGGCACAGTGGCTCAAAGTGGTAGAACATTAGCCTTGAGCGAAAAAGCTCTAGTACCCAGGCCCAGAGTTCATGCCCCACGACCAAAGTGGGGAAAAGAAAAGAAATTGCAGGTTTGAGCTGTATGTAGGGATTATAACCAATGTTTGTAAATGTATAGAAAACAATGTCATATTTGTACATGCACAGTATGTACTAAGAGTATCAAAACTGTTTCTAAAGTTATTTCAGTGAGAAAATCCTAGTAGTTCCCTGAGCAATGTCAGGAGAAACATTTATGATGTGAGAATTCATCTCTATGAACAGATGGCAAAAAAGAGAAATCTGACCATAAAACTGGCTTCAGGTACTGGTGAGTTTCTAAGGACACTCATTTATTTAAGATTTTTAAAAAAATAAAAACAAAATTTGTCTTACATTACAAAGAATTTTGAAAAAGAATCCTGTTGTAAGTGAATATAAAGAAATTTTCTTACCAAAACTGCTTTATATGCTTTAATTCTATGTACAATATTAAGGCCTTTACAGGTAAATCTCAGGCAAAAAAATCCGTGAGTTGCAAGATGAGATGATAGTGACATCAAATGGGGAAGATTCATATCTCCCGATGCCCCATGTGTAAGAATTATCCCATATGCTAAGCTTTTGTTAGGTACCAAGCAGACAGCATCCAGTAATTTATTTCCAAAAGGTATTTTCAATTTAACCTGAAATGAAAGAGAATAAAGGCATTAAATTAAATCTTCCTTGTCTATGTGTTTGTTCTGTGAGCCTGATGATTTAAATCATGGCCTTCAAATAAAAAGACATTGATAATAATTAAACTTAAGAGACTACTGTGTCAGACATTATAAGCAATTTGTTTTTAGTCTTTAAGGTCTTATAATTTTATGATTCAAGTGCTATTATGATGCTGATTTTATAAAAAAAAAAAATACAGCAGAGGTTAAGTGACTTGCCCAGGTTACATAGCTAGAATTCAGTCAGTCTGTTCCAGAGGACTTCGTTTTGTGTATGCCAGTCCTGGAACTTGAACTCAGGGCCTATGTACTGTCCCTGAGCTTTTCTGTTCAAGGCTAGTGCTCTACCACTTAAGCCAAAGCTCACCTCCAGCTTTTTGGTGGATATTTGTAGACAAGAATCTCATGGACTTTCCTGCTGGCTTCCAACCTTGATCCTCAGATCTCAGCCACTTGAGTAGCTAGGATTATAGGCATGAGCCCCTGGCGTAAGGCCCAGAATCCTTATCTTAAATATGAATGCTATACTGCCACCAACAGTCCAAGTTGAAAGTAATTACTCTAAAGTCACACCATTACAAGAAAGAGAGAAAGAAGCCCAAAGATAAAGAATATTTGAAAGTATTACCTCTGTATGACTCATTTTCACTCTTGAATTAACTTAAGGTGCATTACATCTGGGAAGCAAAGGACATCTCCCTAAAAGAAGATTGTGTTGTGAAAAGTGAGTTGTCAGACAAGGGCATGACACAAAAGCTATGAATAAAACCACACTAAGTAGCTGAAATAAACACATTAGAAGTAGTTCCCTAAAAATGGATGTCTTTCTATAGAAGCCTTTGTTTGATATACACAGAAATGTTACCTAAGATAGAGCAAACATGACATAGAAGCCTTAAAATAGTTCAAAGCAGGATGCTAAAACAAATTATATAAAAACATTTTCGTGAACATCTCCAATCTCAACCAGTTTCTGCTTAATTTCTTGGCACCTTTATTGATTTTCTCCTTTATTACCATTGTCTATCCTTTCCTATAGAGGCATGTGACTCTGCAGTGCCTCCTGGGAAGCGTGGCATGCATCTTCTTGCTATTGGTGGGTCGTGTGAACTGCTTTTACTAATAGAATCTAGGCAATGTTCACAAATAAAATTAAATTAAATTAAAAAAAAAAAAAAAAAGAATCTAGGCAGAAGTTTCACTGTGCCTCTTCTGAGTTGAGACAAGGCAAATTTATATAAGCCCTTTAAAACTTTCACCCTGAGCCATGAGAAAAGCATGTACTTCTACATTTTCAACGTGGGTCTCAGAAAGAAGATAATATTTACCAGATTTGAAGACCCCCAAAATGACTGGAGTCTAAACTAGTGGACCCATAACTTAGGCCACAGCTGACCTAAGAACAACATGTACAAAATGTATTACCTCTTTATGAGAACTTTTATTTTTCAGGTTATTATCAATATCAGAATCTCCACTATTCATTCATTTGCCCCATTGAAATTCATCTCTTCACTAATAAGCAACAACAAATGGTTCAAATGTCAAAATACACTAACAATATAGAAAAAAAGACATTCCACCTTGGCCACTCAAAACCCCTCTCCCAAATACTATCTCAATATTGCTAACTTGTGTATCCATTCAGGCAGCACTAGAAAATTAAAATTATTTTCACCGGGGTGTAAGTATAAGGCAAACTCCTAGGAGAATTGCTTTGTCAAACTCTGTTCATAATTTCTTAAAATACATTTGATTTTTAAATAGGTAATATATGTACCTGCCACAAGTTATTCTTGCCGGTCCTGGGCCCTGAACTCTGGGCCTGGGAACTGTCCCTAAGCTCTTTCTGCTCAAGGCTACCACTATCATTTGGCTACAGCACCACTTCTTGCTTTTTCTGTGATTAAGCCCTACAGGGCTAGCCATCCTCAGATCTCAGCCCCAAGTAACTAGGATTACAGGCGTGAGCAACCAGCACCAGCTAACACAATTTTTTTTTTAAAGTAAATAATGTCTTTTCACTCTTCTCCCAGAAACCCAATTATTTTCCAGAAGCAATGGCTATGACCAACTGTGCATCCTCACTTAACCTTCTTTCAACAACAATTGTCCATTCTATGTGAGCCTGGAAAGTATTAGTCTGGTTGCACAAGTGAACAACAAAAGGGGATAAAAAAAAAAAATGCAGGCTTCTGACTCCTTCCCACAATGTACCCATATAATTTACTATGCCTTGCATCCATCAGTTCAAAATCTTCTCCGTTACTTTCTCAATATAAGCCAGTCACCCAAGAGTGAAATAGGGAAAGAGATCTAAAATAATTGCTTCTTAAACAGATTTCACCTCACTTTTATTCAAGCCTCCCATCTTCATGCTGCCACTACCTCATTCCCAGCTGCAAAGGTGTGCAATGACTCTGTGCATTTTGAAGAATGTTTTATGCTTTATGGAGAATTGCTTCATAGCATTCCTGCCAACAGGTTTAGAATTATGTTAACGTCTGCTAAGTCAGTTACTTTCTAGAGTTCATCATTTGATTGCATTTCCCAGTTTAGCACACTCCACCCCTGTAGGCTTGTCTTTAAAAATGTCTGGGTGGTTCATGCCTGTAATTCCAGCTGCTCAGGAGACATCTGAAGCCACACAGGGAAGGAAAATCCGTTGTTTTTAAACCTGCAGATATTGGAGCTTACTTTGGGCCTGGGTGTTATACCCAAGCTTTTGTGCTCACGGCTAGAGCAATACCACTTAAGCCACAGCTCCACTTCTGGCTTTGGGGGGTTAATTGAAGAGGGTAAATGTCTCAGATTTTTCCTGCCGAGACTGGCTTCATGTCGACAACCATTCTCAGGTCTCAGCCTCCTCAGTACCTCGGATGCTAAGGTTACAGGAGTGAGCCACCAGAGTTCAGTCTGTGGGACTCATCCCCAAATAACTAGCAAAAAGCAGGAAATGGAACTGTGGCTCTACTGGTGGCAGTGGATAAAGCCAAGCGATTAGGCCCAGCCAAAGTTCAAGCCCCGGTACCCGCGCGCACACAAATGTTTCCAATCACTATCTTAAACCAGAACCTTCTTGGCTTTCTCTCCACGCAGGTTTGGTTCCGGTGGTGGTCTTCTAAACTCTCCTCCAGATTGTGATGAATAACTTGTTTTTCACAACTGGTACCCGTGTCCTGGCCTACTTCACAGGCACAGTGACCTGTCCCAGGACAGGCTCACCCCAAAGTACCCTGCTCTGGGGTTTAATCTCGGCTGGTGTACCCAGAAAAGCGGGGGTTTGGGGCAGGGCACTGCCCCCACCACGTAGGGGTGCAGGGGAAGAGGGGTGGGGGCAGAAACCGGTGGAGGAGACGGGAGGGGCGCAGACTTTGGGGGAGCTAGGAGAGGGGTGTTTAGGGGGGGTCTTGGGGCAATAAAATGATCACTGATAAGGGTCCCTTATTTAAAGTGGTAATTGATAGGCGTGTCCTATTTAGTATTAAGTGACCACGTTGAGGCGCCCGATTAGTGGTTATGGATCATCGATGGGCACCCGATTAATAGATATTCATCATCCAGGGGGCACCCGATTAGTGGTTATTGATCGATAAGGCGCCTGATCAGTGGTTATTGATCATCCATGGGGGCCCGAATAGTGGTTATTGATCATCGATGGGGCGCCTGATTATTATGGATCAACCACGGAGGACCCGATTAGTGGTTATTGATCATCCACGGGGTGCTAGTTGTAACTGATCATCGATGGGGGCGCCCGACGTGGCGGACCCCAGACAGCTGACTTCTGTCTCGGGGTACGCGACCCCATCTTCGCTCCGGGCCCCGGCCTGACCAGGCTACCAGGGCCAAGCACGCCGGGCCGAGCCTTCCGGGTGGCGGGAGGGGGGGGGAGGGATCCCCGCCAGGACCGGGGCTCGACTTCCCGGCGGGGCCCCAATCCGGCCCGGGGCGAGGGGTAGTCGGGACTCGCGCGTGCCCAGGAGGAGCTGCGCCCACCCCGGGGCGCCGCCTCCGGCCCTCGGAGCCCGCGGGCCGCCCCGCCGCGCCCGGCCCCCGCGCCCCGCCGCGCCCGGCCCCCGCGCGCCGTCCTCGGCCGCACCGACGGCGCCTCAGGCCGCTGCCGCCGGCGCCCCGCGTCCGCCCAACGCCGCCCGGCTCGGCCGGCAGCCGCGGAGGAACGCCACCGCGAGCCCCGCGCGCCCGGACGGACGCGCTCCCCGCCCCGCACGGAGGCCGCCCGCTTCCGACGGCCGCCGCCGCCGCCGCCGCGCCTACCCGGGAAGGCGAAAAAGTGGCCGCCGGCGCCCAGCCGTCCGCGCTCTCTCTTCGGGGAGCCGACGAGCGCGCTCGAAGCGACCGCCGCGCCGCCCCCCGCCCACCTCCCCGCCTCGCGCGTCAGCGCGGGCCGTTACTGCGCACGCGCGCGCAGGCCCCGCCCCGGCTCCAGGGCCGCGCCGCGAGGCTTGCCGGGAGTGGGAGTTTTCCAACCGCCTCTGTTCAACTTCCGGCGGCGGGTGGGGAGGGACGGAGGGAGGGAGAGAGTGGGGCGCGGGTGCGCGCCCGCCGACAAGCCCGCGCGTTCCCATCTCTGCCTCCGCCTTGTCGATCATTCTGGGTGTTCGGGCCCGATGACCTGGGGGGTCGCTGGCCCCGCTGCTGGCCTCGGGCTAGTTAACGCGATCCTAGCCACTCTGCAGGCTGGCTCGCCGAGGATCAGGGTTCGAGACCAGCCACGGCGAAATGGTCCTCTAGACACCATGTCTTAGGGAAGGTGGGGCCCCTGTTAGTGGAGCATCTGCCACTCGGGAGAGGCTCTGAGTTCAAATCCCCCCCCCAAAAGAGCCAGCTCTGACTGGTCTGTTTCTTTCTGCTTGCCTGTCGGTCTGTCAGCCAGTCTGTCTGTCTCAGTCACACCAGTTTCTGAGGGAACTACTACCAAACACACGTAGACTACAAGCAGAACCCTCACTGTGCCAGGCTGGGCCGTCTGCCCGCCTCTCTGGCTGCGTGGGGGAACGGGTCACCCGCGTGGAGTCCTGTTCCCACGTTTGCCCACACCCCTCCCAGCACTCACCAGCAGCAGCCAGCCTGGCCCGGTGGAAGTGCACTCCCCGCACAGCTCCTCCTGGCTCCTTAGGGCCCAGGCTCAGGGCGGCTTTCCCTGGGCAAGGTCCCCCAACCCTTTGCTTTGCTCGGGCTGCTTCAGCTCCCCAGAGAGATCCCAGGGACAGAACCCTTTGCCTTGAGATCTTCATTAGGAGGGATTGTGGCTCAAGTGGTAGAGCACCAGCCTTGAGCACAAAAGCTAAGGAATATGGAGGAGCAGGTGCACACACACAAAGATATCAATTGAGTGTCTTCACTCACAGAGCGGCCATCACTCCCCACATTTCCAGTCCCTTGCTCCTCTGTGGATGTTTGCTTCAAGGACTTTGAACTCTCTCCTGGAGACAGGTAAGGTGGTTGCCAGCGCGTGTGTACGGGCATGCCTGCGTGTGCCCGTGATGTTTTTACCCCGTGTTCTCTTCTGCCCCAGTTCTTCTAGGAAAACAAGCTTCTCAAACCATTTACTCAATAATTTTTTGTATGCATCCATTTACCTGTTGATGGCCATTTGGCTTGTATCTATTGTTTGGCTGTTATGAATGATATTGGCACATCATTCCAAGAGGCAGAGGTGAGGTCAGAAGTAGAGATTTGAAGATACTAAGCTGCTAGCTTGGAAGATGGAGAAACATCCCCAAGCAAAGTAACGCAAGGAATATAGAAACCAAGAGGCCAGGAAAAGCATTCTGCCTGGAAGGAATAGGCCAAGCCAACACCTTGATTGACATGAACATGGAGACACTTCTCAAAATGTGGCTTCTCTGTTTCTTGAGATTGAATTCCTGTATAAAACTCCTTCTTCTCCTCTACCTTTTTCTTTTCTCCTCCTTCTCTCTTCCTCTTTTCTTGTGCCATAAATGAGTCTTGAACTCAGGGCCTCACACCTGCTAGGCTGATGCTCTCTACCACCTGACTCAATCTTCCAGTCCAAGATTCATTCTGAGTAGTTAATGGCCCTGCAGTCTAGGACATGCCTCAAAGTAGGTGATGCACAATTCATACAGCTCTGAAATGTAATTCTATGCATTTACTAGAAAGCCAAACAACTTAGGAAAAAAAGAGCCCCTCCCTCACAAGAAAAAGAAAGAAAAAGTTTTATAGGAAAGGCAACATAAAGAACACAAATGTAGCTCATAAACACATAACATATGATCAGCTTCATTAGTAAACAAAGAAAGGAAAATTAAAATATTAGTGAGTTACTTCTGTATGTGTGTGGGTCTTGGGGCTTGATCCCAGGCCCTGAGTGCTGACCCTGAGCTTTTTTGCTCAAGATTAGTGCTATTTGATCCCCAGCTCTACTTCTAGCTTTTTTTTCCCCACCTCCCTGGTAAATTGGAGATAAAAGAATCTCAAGGACTTTCCTTCTTGCCAAACAGACAGGAAGTTTAAAAGTCTAAGAACATCAAATATTAGCAAGAAAGTAAAGCAAATGAAAAACTCCACACACTCCTGGGGAGAATAAAACCTGGGACCATCAATTTGGAAATATATTTGGAAATAAAATATATATTCCCCCTCCATCCTCTTCCTTCTATTCCCCCTCACCCCTCTTTCTTCCTATCTTTTTCTTTGCAGTGCTAGGGTTCAGACCCAGTGCTTTGCACTGTGCCTGGCAGCAAGTGCTCCAACACAGTTCTGTCTGTAGCACTTGGTTTTTTGAGACAGTCTTGCTATGTATTCCAGGTTGGCCTCAAAATTCCAGGTTGTCCAGGCTAGTGTGGAACACACCATCTTCCTGCCTCAGGTTCAGTTGGGCTTGTGTCACCACACCCAGCCTGTTCTTTAGTTCTTTTAACTAAATTTCAAAGTGACTGTCATTTACTCATTTCTAGTCTAGAAATACTTGGAAGCAAACTTGGTATCTTCCATCAAGTTGCCTAAAATATGGAGGAAGGGGAGAGAATCTACAGACAATTACTAAGTAGTTCCCTGGTCACCAACCTAGGAAGAGGTAGCAGGGAAGATTTAGTGAGGAGCAGTGGTCCAATTCCTGATCTAAGCACTGGAGGGCGCTGCAGCTGGATCTGAAGCCTGGAAGTCTAGGTCAGCTTCCAGACCAGGGGGAACGAGAACAGTAAAAAGAAACAGGCACTGAGAGAAGGGGCTAGTCCAGCTGATCTGGATGCTTCCATTCGGGAAGTTTTGACCCACGTTTGCAGGTGGAGCCCAGATGAGGACAGGCCAAGGATGATGAGGTGTGGTCAGAGTGAGTCAATATCCATAAGAACAGCTTACTGGGGGCAAAGTTTTGTTCTTCAGTCTTGTAAATAAAAGTCAGGGCAGGTGGTCAGCCAGGTGCTGGAGCCAGACTCAGATGTTTCCTTTCCTTCTCCAGGGTCTAAGGGCTGCTAATAATTAGCATGACATAGTCTTTAAAATCAAGGTGGTTTTTATTATAAAATTAAAAAACAATTCTGTAAAAGTCATGCGAATACTTTGTAGGTAGAAACACTTTGATAATGCACACAGCAGATTGTGAATTCGTACTTAATGACTTTTTTTTTTGTCAGCCATGGGGACTGCATTCTGGCTCTGGGCGCTGTCCCTCAGCTCTTCAGCTCAAGGCTAGTGCTTGAGGCACAGCGCCACGTCCGGCTTTTTCTGCTTATGTGGTGCTGAGGAATCGAACCCAGGGCCTCATGCATGCAAGGCAAGCACTCTACCACTGAGCCACCTTCCCAGCCCCTTGGAATTCGTATTTAAAAAAAAAAAATCTTCTTTGCAAAAGTTAAAGAGTCTTCAGAACACCATTATTTGAATGGAAGATACTTTGCACTTCAGAGTTCATCTTTGGTCTGTAATTGAGAAGTAAAATATTTAAAACCAGAAGGAAGTTTTATACAATTAAAGAAAACTTATACCAGACAATGAACTATTTTTCCCCCAAATTGAAGGAATAAAGGGCAGGTTTCTGTTAGATGCTTTGAGAGCCCAGACCTATTTCTGGAGGATCAGAACAGGGGTAAAGATGGGGACCCCCAGGGGCTTGGGTTACCATAGGCCCTTGTGTTACAAACAGCGTCAGTAAGGGGCTAGAGTAGACAAAGACTAAGAAATGATATGATTGTTAACACTGATGATGTACTACTTACTCATCAGTGACTTGGTGGTAAATCAGTTCTCAAAAAAAAAGACAAAAATACAAATAAAACAACACAAATTCTGCTTTATATTGTGTGCTGACCATCATGGCATAAATATCACTACCAGGCTACCAGATTCTTAACTAGTATGCAAAATCTTGAAATATTTAACAAATGACTTGTTCTAGCCACATCACTGAGGCTGAGAGGTAAGATACAATGATTTTCAAATCTTGCCTTCCCATCTCCGGTTATAATACCACAATTTTATGTTTATTCACTCAGGACATGATGACATTGCTTAAAATAATCTCAAAGAGAATATTCATACTCTTCCAGCATACTATGTCTCTGTATATAAGCATACACCCAATCTGATCATGAGAAACTGGATTTAGCTTTGCTATAATTCAGATAAATGATTTTTGAGCAAAATTCTTCTTTGGACTCAGTTTTGCTAACCATAAAATAAAGACGGACAATGACTTCATGACCTCCAGGGCCCCTTTTAGCTTCACAAGTTCATGTGTAGATTTGATTTTTATAAACAAAGTCATCAAGTACTAGTATTGAAAGATTACTTTAAAATGAATACTTTGATAACAAGAGTATTCACAGCTGATTTTCATCTCTATACTGGGAGGATAAATTCTGTAAATCTATCTCTCGAGGAGGGGAGATGAGGGCAACAGATAATCCCTGGGAAAATCCAAATTGCCGACATCTTTTCAAACCTTTGTGATCTGAATCCTCACATTATTAGAGGCTTCCTTTAGCTTTGCCAGGGAACGACTTTGTCTTCTTACTGAACTGCATTTCAGTACTGTTTCTTGTTTAGTATCTTATTCATGCACTACATGTCTGGAGGTGTCAGGAGGAACGCGACCATTTGTTGCCTGACTGAACGATCTACATTCAGTTCTTCTGCTGAGACTGGCCAACAGGTGACTTCTGTTACCTTTGTCCTGTGGCAGGTGCAAGGAAAGAGGTCGTCCTCCATCTGTGGTTCTACCCTCTTCATGCCCTCTCGGACTTGGGGCTCGCTCACTTGTAGGTTGGCATACTCCTATGAAGCAACAGTGAAAAGCATTCCTTATGCAAGTACACTCAGCAAATGAGACATATTGGAATTTACAAGTTCAAGGTGCATTGAATTGGGAGCTTCTGGGTCCTGTGTA